CTGTTCCTCAGAGCAAGGAAGCCCCTGGGGCTGGTAGTGGACAGGCAGGAGGCTGCATTCCTGCAGCTGGAGAGGCAATGGAGCTTGGTGCCACGGCTCATGGCAGCTGTAATAGGGTGAAACTGCAGAAAGGAGTGAGCAGGGAAAACCCCAGCTCACTTCTGACAGGACTGGAAAGTCCTGTTTGGAAAACTGAACAAGGAGACAGTCCTGGGAAAATCTGAGGGCTGGAGCACGGTGAGGGCAGGCAGTCAAACCTCCAGGGTGTCAGAGTGAGTTTCTGTTTCAGCCTCTCTGGACTTCTTGCATTATGGCCTGATAAATGTGTCAGCATTTAAAGGGAGCCTTTTGGTCTTGACAATGCTTCAGAGAGCTATCTGAAGGGACAGGGAGGTGAACAATGCCAGAGCTGTGACAGGCAGTTGCTCGAGAAGGGGAGAGGCTATCTGGTGGCATGTGCTGTTCTGACTGGCATGAGGGGACAGGGCCTTCCTGCTCCCTCATCCCTTGGGATACTGTGCAGTTCTCATTCTCCAGCAAAGCACTGGTGCTGGGAGCACAGAAATTCTGGAAAAATCCCTTCCTCCTGTCACCTGAAGTGAGGGCAGCCTTTCGTCCAAGGAGAGATTCTTCTCTGCCACCTCTGCACTCTGTTTTGCAATTCTTTCTTCTAGGAACAACCAGATGCTTAATTATTTTCACAGCTCAGTTTCTACAGAAAAACTATCTGTGCTGGGCCTCTGCCTGGCCCAGAGTCCACTACCATTGAAAATTTCCCATTAAAACAAGTCACAAATGCCACTTGTCCTCATCCTTGGAGATCATGGTGTCTTCCCTTGGGTTTTGTTGCTGGTTTCACCTTTTTCTTTCCTCACTCAACCATCTTGCTCGTCCAGATCTGAACTGAAGCTGTGAAGCAAAGCCAGCAGCAGTGGGGCTGCCACTCTGGTGGCCTGGTGGCCTCACTGCCTTCTTCTGCATCAAGTCCTGCTGGGGCAGGCAGGTACGTGTGTCCACCAGAGCTGGATGCAGGACATGTGGTTGGTAAACACTGTCTGTTGGCCCTTGCCTGGATCTATAGTTTCTCTTGTGGTGTAAAACGCCAAGTACTCAAATAGAGAGCCCCTTCCTAATGTCAAAAGGCTGAAAGAGGAGGAGGAAGACAGTAAAAGTTAAGGCCTCTAAGTTTGGACTGTGGCCACTTGTGATGTCCAAGCCCGTCAGCAATCAGACAGGCAGGCAGCTCCTTGGGCTGCCCATCCCACCTCTTTGTTGAGGGAGCAGAGACACCCACATCCATGTGTCAAACAGGTCATGCAGCCCAAAGTGTGTGCAAGGAGGAACATAACCTAAGAGCAGCAGAACGAGCAGATGGGGAGGATGGTGAAAGGTTTCTGCTCATGACTGTAGAGGTCATGCTGGTGCTGTAGCCAGTGGGAGAACACAGCTTCCCTGTGCATGTCCCCAGGTGCAGGGTTGCCCTTTGCGCTTGCTTTTTACTCTTTATAAAGCTGCAGTGAATGGAAGAGATAGGTTCCAAATTACTGGGGGAAAAATCAGGCCTTGGGCTCTGCTGTCCAATGTCACCTCCCTGGAGATCTGTATTTTATCTGTCACCACCGTAAGATTCTTGAGAAGTCCAGGACTGATGCTAAAAAGGGTGAAAAGCAGGAGAGCAGAGACTGAAGGTGGCCCCTTGCTTGTGATTATGGTGAGAAAGGTCTGCAGTGAGCTGGAATGTAAGCAGGAAGAGGAGGGTGTGGGAGGAAATGGGGAGTTCTGTTCTTTGTGTGCAATATAAGGAAGTATGGGAATATCCTTGTGGGATTTTCAGAGATTTACAAGAATGGGCAGCAGGGAAAGGCTGGGGAAAAAAAAAAGTAACCTCATGCTGTGTAATGACAGGTGAATGAGCTGGTGTTGCAGGTGAAGAGGGAGTGGGGACCTGTGGAAAGGGAGGAAAGGAGAAAAGAGCAAGCAGAGGCAGATATGAGTGCCAAGGGCAGTAAGAGCAGAGGACACAGGCATGTCAATTATGAAACTAAATCTGAACTTTACAGGACCTTGATCTGCAGCAGCATGGCTGCTCTTGAAGCTTGCAGAGACACACAAGGCAGGTGACAAAGGTGCTTGTGAGAGAATTTTGAACATTGGACCAGTATGGGGAGTCACTGGCAGTAGAAGCAAGAACAAGCTAATGTGCTCTGCAAATAGCAGCCGTGCTGTCTGAATAAGGAAAAAGTGATGTTGGAAGAATAAATGCATATGGAGTTCTTGCTCTATGCCCAACAAATGGGACCATGCAACATATCTGCCAGAATGCCGAGAAGACCTCATGAAGGCAGGTTATCACCAGAAACACTCTCAGAAGATCTTTCTAAAGGTATAGGTGTGGAAAGGGCAGAGACAGAGGACACGCAGCTGTTGCAGGGTTCAAATTGTGAACAATTTCCATTGCATTTCTGTAGGCCTTGCTTGACATGACTAGAAGCTGTAAGCTGTAATGTTTATTATAGACTGTGTGAAAATATGCAATGTTTATACTTGTTAGCTGTGTGTCTAATTATAAGGTTTGAGAACATAGTATGTTTAGAGCAAGAAAGCCTTGAGAAAGTATAGATAAGGGTGCACCTGCAATTTTCAGAAAGTTCCTAATTAGGAAGGCCTCTACATTCCAACTATGATTTCAGATCGCGTGGACAGAACATCAGGTCCAATGAACTGGAGACATGAGGCGCGTGTACAGTCTGAGCTATCCAATCACCTTGTTGTAAGCATGTGCCCCAAACAAACTAAACTGTATAAAAGTTGACTTAATTAAATAATAAATGGAACATATGGCTGACCACATTGGCCTGTATGCCTTATGTTTATACCCCTCCATCAATACGCAGCCATTAAGAGCACATGTTCGAAACTAGGGGTGCAGGATTGTCCTGCAGCGGACAATCTTGCTATATAATCAAGTGAACAGGCAAAGCTCTGCACTGAGTAACCCTGCGTTAGCAACACGCAAATACACAACATGCCCCAGCTTATTTTGCTAACAAACACATATTCTCACATTAATCTCCATCCTACTTGCTTTACCTGTGGTTCCTCTGCATACGTTACGTGGTTACTTTTGCATGACTGGTGGAGGCAAACAGTAGCAAAACCAGCATGTGGTATTTGGGCAATGATTTGTTTAGCTGCAGAACTTCCTCGTACAGTAAAACATTTATTTAATTTATTAAGTCGTTGCAGAATTCTTGCAAGATTATAGCAGTGCCTTCCTAGATACTGTTTGTGTAAATATTGCAATGGACAGCAGAGAACCTACCACTGCCTCTGAAACTACTAGACCAGCCTGGTATTACTGATAACTGCATTTTTCTCCATCCCTCTGGCGTTTAAATGAGAAGTATTTGCATTCAGATGGTATCTATTTAAGTATTTGCATAGCAGGTCCAGCCATGTACCCAAGCTCTTTCAGAGCACTGATGGCTGTAGCTGGTGAATGCCTCTGCAGGACCTTGACAGCATTTCCAGCCCATCTTGCAAGGGGAAACTGAGTGGAGCATTGCTGTTTCTATTTCCAGACACGGAATCACTTGAGATTCTTTGCTGGTGAAAAACCTGTAGCAGCAAGTGAACAAACCCCCTCAGTCTCTACTCCCAGCTCAGATTTAGTGGTTGGTCAGAGCGTAGGGTGAGTTCCCAACAAGAAGGGGTTTTGGCAGATTCTCACCCCACCCCACACCTGGAAAACTTTGCAGGTTTGCAATGCAGATGTGGCCGCCTGCCAGAAGGAACTTTCAGTGCATACACCTGGGTTATGCTTATGCAATTAGAGGGGAAGGGAAATAAAAATGACTCAGGATGACAATTTTATATAAAACTTTCCACAATGGCCTTTGGCTCCCATGCAAATTAGGAAGCACCCAACCAGCTGTGGTGTTCTTCCTCATACCCTCCTTAGAGCAGGTCATGTGTCAGGAACCCCTCGCGAAGAGCAGGGTAGAAAAAGGAAATGGATGTTCCTGTGCAACCTGGGGCCACGGCATTCTCCAGCAGCCTGAGCTAGGCCAGGTGCCAGCAGCACAGAAGTCCCCTGGCCAATGTACTTGGCAGAACTCCATGCTGCGTCAGCAGCGTTGCTGCTCCCTGTTCCCATCCAGGGGATACAGCACAGAAGAAACAGGGCATGGTCACCCTTCACACAGCTCATCCTTTACCCGGACACACAACAGGCTAAAATTTGTGTCTGAAAGTAGTCCTGTGCTGTGATGTGTGGCCAGCAGATAATGAGGTGTAGGCAAGGATTTGAGCAAAGTGACTCTGTTTCCCTGAATGCTGGAGAGAAACCTGAGGAATAACTGAAGGGGATTAAAGCCATATCCTTTACTGCTATGAATTGGACAAGAATAGCTGTAGCTCCTGCAGTGGGGAAGCTGGGAGGCCCCCTACCTGAATTTCAAGGGTGGAAGCACCCCGGGTGTGTTCCCTCTTCCCACGGAAATCCCCTTCGGAAATTCCAAAGGTGTCAGAGTTCCAGCTGGAACTGGGCCAGGAGATAAACAAGAGGTGAGCAGAGACAGGGTTGTGCTGCAAACCTCCAGCCTCCTGGCAAAAACTACCAAGTATTGGAGCTGGAACAAAAGGTGCTATGAGGGCAGAAGTGGTCAGGTGCTGCCACAAACAGCCTAAAAAACCCCGCTCTAGTGGGCGGGGAGCCTGGTGCTGGGTGACAGAGGGGGAATCCCAGCCCCACAGCCCGCCCGCTGCAATGGGTGCAGGAAACAACACCTACGTCTGCCTCCAAAATTAGCTGCAGCAGAAGGGCTGAGAGCTGCAAGCTGCTCAGATGTCTTATCACTGCTGAGGTGAACTACCTAAAGCCCCTGAGACCGTGACCCCATTGGTCTACTAGGTGTTAAATGCTTCTTAAAAAGCAAACCAGGCAGGTTCCCATGATCTCAGGACAAGGAGGTGAGCAATGAACCATTCCACAGACTAGGTACAGTAATCTGACTTTTTTTAATAAATACATATCTCACATGTACCAAAATAATTATAAACAAAAAATGTACAGTATTTACACAATATACAATTGCTAAAAAGTGTAGCAATTATGACACACATGGTGTGAAACACACTGTTTCCAATGCCCACAGTTCACACTATTGCTACTTTCTCCTATGAGCCAGGAGGTCACCAGTCCCTTGGTCCGACTCCTCCACCTGGAACGCCCCACTGAGAGCAATGACCCTGACCTGAGGTCAGTCAGTAACGCCAGGGACTGCCACCAGCCCAACGCAAATTAACACACAGGCTCTGAGAACGGGTGTTGGTATGAGTCCACCTTGCCATGAAAGTACACGTGTTCCTTGCAGTACTTAATGCCACAAGCAAGCTCTCTGTAATGAGCAGGTTGGATGTGTAGTCTGTTACCTTTGTAGGGCTGAGAAAATGGCCTACACGGCTCTTTATCAGGTGGTGTGAATAATCACAGATCTCTACTGATGTTACATATCCCACTCCTGTATTTAAACACAGGGCAGATCCTGGAACTGTTTTGTTAAAATTATGAGCTCCTTCTCCTTGCTGGGCAGTGTAGTATTTCCTTCCTGGTTTTTCTCTCCACATTCCGACTTTCTTTTTAAATGAAGAAAGTCAGTCCTTTTTCTATACATATGTATATAGACACTTCACAGAAAGCTCTGCTTTAAAATGCCAGCTGTCGTCCTCCAATAAGGCAGTCATCATATATAAGCTACAAGAAAAAAACCAAAAGCTGTTAATGCAAAAATCTTACTGAAAATATTGTATCCACTCTGGGACAACAGCCAAATTCTGCATGCCCAGACTTCAGCAGCGTATAAAGTTTTTACACCAAAATGGTTACTTTTGCCATTTAACAGCACTCAGAATGTTAGAGAAACAAAGGCTGGGGAGGAGGAAACCGCCCATTAACTTGAATTTTATCTACGAGGTTCTCTGTCAGCCACAGAAGGGTGTGCAGAGAACCATGTTGCATGAAGTTAACCTCCATTCCCTCATGTTATTTTTTTACATTTTATTCTTACTCTATTTATACGCTTGCCCCACTTGCCATTTTGCTGACTGCTGACAGCATGACCTTATTTATACATGCCTTTTATACTGCAAGAGGTTACTAGGGCATGTTGTCAGAGCAGCAGCAACAAAAAAACCTACACAAGACAGGATTTTCCCCTTCTCTTGAAAAGACACAAACAGCTACTTACTTCATCCTCTGTGAATTCAGGTTCTGATTCACTGCTCTCCTCATCCTCACTTTCCGGCAACATCTGCAGGTCAGCTGTGGTCAGCTGCTTCAGCTTTTCCTGTATGCTTGAGTTGTCTCTTCCCCATGTGAGCTGATAGGGGGAATAGCCCTGATAGGTCACTTTGTTCACATCTGCCCCATGTTTCAGAAGAAGCGACACCAGGTCTGAATTCTGCAGATCAACAGCCAAATGTAGTGCTGTTCTGCCATTGCACGGCTCCTGTGTGAAAATAACAAAAGGTTTGGCATGTTAGGAGAGGCAGAGCCGTTGCCAGATCTGTTGATTCTTAAGACTACACAGCCCCACTCAGTTAAAGTCATGGTACACATTACATACCTGTGCATTTACATCTGCTCCCAAAGACAGCAGATACTCAACAATAGCCAGGTATCCTTGAATGGATGCCAAATGAAGACATGTATGTCCTGCAAAACACAAACAAAGGGAAAATCTGATAAGTCTAACTCAATGCCTCATCATTTCTTAAAAGTCAAGATGATAGGCCAGGATGATACTAAATTTGCAATTCATCCATGGCAAAAGGGTGTTTTCTGGAAGAGTTTTCCAGCTTCCAGTGAGTACGAATAACAAGGTTGGATTTTGAAAAGATTTCTTAGGGGTTTTATTCCAGTGCTTGACTGCAACTTATTGCAACCAAAAAAAGAAGGAGCACGGCAAAAGTACTCACTAAAAATGCAAAATTCAAAGCCATGAGAGACAATAATCAACACTGAGGAGGCCTATAAGACAGTGGCATTTTAAAGAACTCACACACTGCTGCGTGCTTAGGGCTCCTCAACTCTCAAATGGTCATAATAATCCTTCTCCACCTCTCCAGACATCTTTGAGATCTACAGGACACCAACCCTACCCTCAGTGCAGCACACCGAGATAAACTGTTTAGCAGTGTGCCTGTACCTTTGTAGTTGGTTGCCTGCAGGACAGCAAGGAGGTGGTGTGGCTGGCAGTACTGTGTGAGGACGCTGACGCTCCTAAGGGAGCCCTGCTGGCAGGCAATGTGCAGGGGGGTGTTTCCTCGGAAGTCCCTGACTTCCAGATCGCATCCGGCCTTCAGAAGATACTCAGCAATTTCAGGCTGATCAGTTATCACTGCCAGGTGAAGAGGAGACTGCATGAAAGAAAAAGGAGCCTGTAAGTTACAGTGCAAACTTAGCAGCAACATCTGGACGAGCAGACCTCTCGACCGCTTGGAGATTTGTGCCACCAGCTAAAAGCACACCCGATAAACTCAATTCTTTATGCTTTCCAAGATATTGTATAGTTGCCTTTTCCTCTGGAAGTGATGAACTTAGGGCTCTCTGGAAACCGAACAGTCCATCTCTATGAAGTGTATCATTAACATCTCAATAAAGAGGGATGCAACTCATTGCATCATATTTGAAAAATGTGGGTGTTAAATGCCACTCTCTCAGGGGAGAGGAAGCATTGTACTAACACTGGCTGGAGCCAGCTGGGGACTTTCCCGAATGCAGGCTTTGATTTAAGTAGGTTTTGATTCAATTGATTCCATCAATTAAAACAACAACAAAAAAAATTAAAAGGACTTTTTTTGGGGAATTCCCCAGAGGCCTTGTGTGGGGGTAGCTGGGGCTGATCCGGATTTGGGGCTGCGGAGGTGAAAGTACCTGACTGAGGTTGTTCTGGAAGTTCAGGAAAGCCCGGTCGCCGGCTGCCTGCTGGATCACCTCCAGGCTCAGGGCTTTTTCCTCGTGAATAATTGCCAAATGGAGAAAACTGCACGGGAAAAAAAAAGAATAATTAAGCGACACACGTTAAAACCCCCTAATGCCACGTTAGCCCCCCCAAATCCCTGCGGCGGGCCCGGGGCAGGGTCACGCGCGGGTGTCGCAAGCCGGGGCTTTCGGCGCGGCCGGGGCTTTCCGCGGTCCGGGAGCCGCCTCTCCCTGGCGCCACTCCAGGGACTTTCCGCCCTCCCTCCCTTCCCTCCCTCCCGCCGCAGCGCGGCCCAGCCCGGCGCCTCCCCGCCGGCTGCACGTCCTGCCCCGTCCCGGCCGTGCCGTGTCCCCCACCGTGTGCGAGCCACCCCCGCCCCGTCTCGACCCCCACTTACGTGTCCCCGTCCTCCGTCAGCTGCTGTGCCCAGGCGGGCGGCTCGCGGGGCTGTAGCCGTATGTCCTCCAGCTCCTTCACCAGCTGCCGGTACTCCTCCTCCTTCATGGAGTCCAAGCCACTGTCGTGGCGATCGTCGAGCGGGAACCCGCCCTGACGGTCCTTCTTGGGGTGCTCGTAGCTCTCCATGGCGGGCGGCTCGGCAGCGCGGCGGGCGCTGATCATGGCGACGGAGCTGCGGGGCGCTGCGAGTGAGCGGCGGTCTCGGCGCCGCCTCGCATATACACCGCGGCCAGGGGATTTCTGCGGGGGAGGAGCCGCCGAGGACGGGAATTTCCAGCCAGTCAAAGCCCGACCGACGGGTCTGGTCCTGCTCGGCGCCGCCGGCACTGGCAGGGAGGGCGGAGCAGCTGGGGCCGCCCAGAAGGGGCGTCGGAGGGGAGGGGAGGAAAGATGTCGGCGCGAGAGGGAACTTGGCGTTCTTCCAAGGGGGAAGTACTCGCCTCTCCGATGTCCCCGTCGGTAGTTCCCTGCCGCGCCCCGGGGGGGATTTCCCTTCCCTGCCCTGCCCGGTCCTGGGGCTCCAGGTGCCCCCTCCCCGGCGGGCAAGGGGTGTGTGCACCGCTGCGGAGTCTCACTGCACGCTCTGGGGACCCCTTGAACGCCCCTCGCCAGCTGGGCACTGCTGGCCCTGATTGCACCCTGCATCCACCGACTTTCTATAAGTTCGGTAAGAGGGGCTGTGGAATCATAAAATAATAGAATAATTTGGGTTGGAAGGATTCTCTAAAGGCTCACTAGTCCAACCGCCCTGCCATCGGCAGGATCGTCTTCAGCTGTATCAGGTTGCTCAGAGCCCAGTCCAGTCTGACCTTGAATGTTTCCAGGTATCAGGCATCCACCACCTCTCTGGGCAACCTGTGACAACCGGTGACCTTCACCACCCTCATTGTAAAAAATGATATCTAATATCTAATTATATCTAATCTAAATTGACCTTACCCCTTGTCCTATTGCAACAGGCCCTGCTAAGAAGCCTGTCCCTATCTTTTTTATAGGCTCCCTTCGAACACTGCAAGACCACAGTAAGGTTTCCCAAGGTGTCCCTGGCCAGAAGCCCAGGCTGTAAGCATTAATACTCTTAGAAGCTCCTCTCTCTTCTACTATCTGCACAACGGCAGATCCCTGAAGCTGTGAGGATCTTTTTGAGGTCTGATGAGAGAGACTCTTAGGAGTCATTAACCAGCGCTCATCTAACGATCAGTAACAAGCTTTGTAGCCAGCCTAGGGTGGCGAAGTCATGCTAAAATTTCAGAGAACCAAATACCACCAGAGCAATGCTGAGGCTGCTACTGCATCTGCCCTGCTTTGGGGGATGGTGGTGTATGTATCACTTTTTGGAGAGATTGAGGTAGTATTGCAGATGATGGATGTTTATGATGTCACAACATCTGCAAGTGTGCAGGTGCTGCCTCAGCGTTTAGAGGATTTTGCATCTTTGCAGTGGAAATTTTCACTCTGTTTCAGTGCTGTGGGATCAGTGCTGTGAGAATTCTGAGCCACTCCTGTACATCCAGTTCTAGTCCAGGACTAGATAGGCCTCTTTCAAAGAGTGCATATCCATAATGGAACAAACAAAGGAATTCCATCTTTGACTGTTATTATTACTTTCTCTGCCCATTCCTAGTGACTCTGCTCCTTTTTACTGCTGTTGTGCCATCTGTGGGTAATGAAAACTGGATAAATGCAGGCTCCGACATGGATAAAAGACATTGTCTGCAGAGCTGACAGCACTGAATTTTTCCCTGGTGAATTTTTGCTTCGACTTCTCAGATGTAGGGGATTCCCATGAAGAATTTTTCTTCCCTTGCAACTATTGCTGACCTCACTGAGTAATAGTGTCTGCGCTTTTTTTTCCTTTTGTCATTTTCCCATGGGATGGCATCCCTTTGAACAAGAACTTATGAGAAAATCCAAAGATGAAAGGAGGAGCTAGAGGAGAGGGAGAATGCCTGGCTATCTCTGAGCAGATGTTCCTAATTTTCAGCCCAGCTGTGCCATTCCTGGACTTTTTTTCAGTGCTTATCACTTGGCCTGGGACAATCCAGTGGTGCTTTTGGGCATGTTTAGAAAAAAGCCATACAACTCTTTCTTTTATAGGTTAAGGGTTATGAAAGTTTTGTGAGTTTTTTGAAACAGTTTCCCCTTTTTAACGTAAATTGGCAGGGGACATTTAATTAACAAATAAATATCTTCCTACCTGCTTCTCTGCAAAAAAGGGAGGATGAGAGTTGGAAAGCAATCTCTTGCTCTGTCTAGCAGGGGAATTGAGCCCAGTGAGGACCATGCTGTCTGCATGGGGATTTTGCTAGAACCACACAGAAATTAAACTTTAAAAGTTCTGTCCTCGCTCTGATGGCTGGAAACCAAGGTCAGCAAAGGGAATTCTTTGCTTTCTTCCATAAGTGACCTCCAGGTGCTCTCACAGGCTACCACAGGGCTATTTTTAGCAATCATTTGCCAGCAACAGCCTCTTTTCAGAGGGACATGAGATACTTTTATTTCGTGTGTGTTTAAGCTTGGTGATACTGCAGCTAGTTGTAGGTAGCAGAAAGGTGATCAAAGATGTTTTCTGAATGGAAAGTCATGGCAAGGCCAGTCCACTTCCTGCCCCAGGGAGATGCTGCTGCTCTGCAGCCTGGCCATAAGCATCACGGGGGGCCCCAGACCCCTGAGTATTAGGCAGACAAAGCAAGGCTTGAGAAGGGATTTAGCCCTAAACCCTGGTCCATATATAAAGCAGCAACCAGCTGAAGATGCAGGGGCAAGTGGAACCCTCATTAACAAATAAAGCTGCTGTCTCCTCTGTAACTCCTCACAGCTACCACAGTTGTTGTATGATATTTGCCTAAGGGGATGGCATATAGAAGATAGCATAAAGCAAAGATTTTGGAGCGTTGATGAAGGTCATAGATGCTGGTTTTGTGCTGCTGAAGTACTGTCCTTTTTTTTTCTAAATTACTACCTTCTAGCAGTTCTTCTATAATGTTCTCTTCATTTTTTTATTCAAGATTATGTTAACAGTCTCCGCTGCCTGGTCCAGTAGGCACTTCAGGACCAAGGGACTACCTGAAAGTCACTTCAACAATGTAAAAGGCTGTAACCATGGGAGGTGGATTTGCACCTGATACCTAAGAGCTAGGTTTTGCAAAAGGCTCCTCTACTCTGTATGCCCTGAGAACGCAAGTCTGTGGGGCTGCAGGGATGTGATGTTTGTTTTTATTCTACCTTCCAGAAAGCAGCTGGCAGGGCTCCGAGAAGCAGCCTTGAGTGCCTGAATACTGAAAAGGGGCAGTAGGGTTTTAATTAGTTTTTAAAGTACATGAAGGATTCTCGTGCTCCTTCCTCCAGCAAACACATTAAATTGTAATTTCCTGATTGCCACACTAATCATGAGAACTGTCTAGTGCTGTTGATTTACCGTAGTTGGTCCCTCAACTTCATCCTTTTGTGATTGCTGCTGCAGATACCTATTAACTGTTTCCTCTTATTAAATCTCGAGGACTGTGCATGGCTCGCAGTAAATATATCAGGAAAGGTAGTTAACAACATCCAGCAAGATCTTGGCCCAAGCTGTTAAAACCAAAAGCAAAGCAAATCAGTGTAGTAGACCTGCTGTCTGTACATGCACATGCACGTGCAGATACCGCTTTGGAATAGGACTCTGGTTAGTTGCTCCAGAAGTCTGTGAACTTTGCTAGTGCAAGGGGACACTTAATGCTGTCATTCTGATAACATTTTGCAGTTAAAATCCACATATCTCAGTCTCCAATTTACAGCTGCTATAGAGATAAGAACCATGCAGCTCTGAACAATTAGTCCAGTGGTAAACAAGGAACACATATTTCCCTCCTGCTTTCTAATAATAATATGAGTTACTAATCTGAAAGCTTTTAAAAAACAGCCAAATGAGAGGAAGGAAAATTATGCAAAGTCACTTTTTGTCAGCCAGGATGAGGGCTGATGATGTTACATGTGCCATGTGGCCTGTATCCCTACCTCCTCAAAATTTTTCATCAGAGGCAGATCCTCCAGTCACATATTCCAAAGAGCTGAATGGTGGATGCAGTAGGAAGCATATCTCCACCTTATTTGAGCTGATATAATATCCAAGCAAATAGTGCACAGGGTAATTTTTGGCACATAAAGCCAAGATCCAAATGAGGGCATTTAAAATCCTACCCATGTCCCACAGACACAAAAATAGTGTTAGCTGGGGTGTTCTGACCAGAGTCTAGTGGATCTAGATTCCTGGTTGCCTACTCTAGTCTGTTTTTATTTTTTGACTGCAGCTTATTTTTGGCATCTCTTAAACTGGTGAATTGCATCCCTGGGAAGATCTGCGTTTCTCTGCATGAGCTATGAGCTGTTTGTATATCAGCTGGTTGCATTTCTGGGTATCCTTAGGGATGAGATGTACTGTATCAGATTAAACTGCTTTTATTGTTATGCCTTAAGGGTAAATATAAGTCAAGTCATTTGAAATTGGCTACCACTTGGATGACAAGTTTTCTCTGGTGTCATTCCCGTTTCTCATGTGGAAGCTTTGTTAAAGCACGTTGCTCAAAAAGCTTTAAACAGATGCTTGCTGCCTGATGCAGCGAAGCTTGCTGCCACATATGTTTCATGTAGGAAAAAAGAATCTTGGGCAGGGGGAAGAGAAGTAAAGGCAGATCTCTTGAGTTTGTTGTACAACTTTCCCTCTGGCAATGACATTGCTCCCCATCAGTATGGCCCCCTCCGTGGGTGCAAGACAGAGTGGAAGCACCTGATGGGGAAAATATGAACTGGGAGCATGCTAATAATTAAAAAGGGACTTTCCCCCTACAGGCAACTGTGATATTTGGTAATGTTACAGTCTCTAGTTCTTCCTAGCAAGTGGGAATATTGCAAAGGTGGAGAGAGTGGCAGAGTGGGACCGTGCAGAAAACAGAGCCTGTGAGGATTCGGAAGGGGTAGCTCAGCCTGGCACAGTGTGAGCATTCTCAGCCAGCAGGGCTGTGCCAAACAGGGAGCTACTTTCCTTTCTGTTTGAATTACGGATACAGAATGTCAAAACTAGATCTAGATATAAATTTCTCTGTGGTACTGGATGGTATTTTGAGCAAACTAAGGACCTTAACTGAGTTACTCTGGGCTGTTTGAGCCAGGCTGCACATGGGCAGTGAAAGCTGTCTGTCTCAGCACATGCTTTGCTCTCAACCTCTACGTGCTCCTGTGCAACCTTTATGCCTCAACTTGGTGGGTGCAAATAATCGTGGATAAATGTAAAAATTCAGCAC